AAGGAGCAACCTCTTCATTTCTTTATACTGCTGATAAAATCAGTGCAAGTCCAAAGTAGTTTCCAAAGTTAGCACATCAGCAACTCTGTCTTACAAGCCTTACTTCAAATCACATGCATAATCATGTTAAATAATCTATTAGTTGATCAGCTAACGCACATATAATATGAACCTAACACAGCCCAACATATTCCAGCACATTAATCCCATGCATTGCCTATACAAACAGTAGAATTACACTATTATAGGAGGAAAAATGTGTATATTTAGAAAGTTGTCACCCCTGAATTATTGTGGCTTCATTAAAACAGAATACAGTGGATACAGATTTTTTTAGTGTGAAAGGACCGCTTCATTAGTTTTCTATATAAAAGGTGAAACTCTGGATATTTAATTTAAAAAATTGGCTAGATCTTGCTGGACCCAGATTCATATTTGGCTTTTCGGGTGCTTATGTCTCAGGGTCCAGTCAGTGGAATTAATGTCTGTATAGCAATTAATTTTTTTATGCATGGGGTCAAAGTTGGCAGGATCTGGAAGGATTTTAATACCTATTTTTGCAATACTGTTGCAACTAAGATACAGCAGGATTCGTATTTTTCAAGTAGAAAAGGAGATCTTACTCTTATGCTGTTTAGATTATAGTATCTGTTGGTTTAGGTCAAGTATTAGTGGGATCCTGCAGGTTTTAGGTTATATGTTGCACAAGATGTATCAAGGTCCAGATTATTTCTAGCAGAATCAGTGCAGCAACATGTTTCTCAGTTAAACTTATCCAGAATTATGGAGTTCAAGGCCAAAATCTGGTCAAGATGCTGGATCTGGGATTCTGTGTTTTGTGCAGGATGTATCAGGGACTGGAATTTTTAGGTGCAGTAAGAATATCAACATCTATTCTCTACTTAGGCATTGGAATTTGGGAAGTTGGGGCCAAAAATGCAGCTGGATCATAATTGTAGATATATGTTTTTGTGGCAGAATATGTTTTTGCTTTTACTGCTGTGACAATATGTGTTGATTATTTTGATGGTATAACTTGGGGTCTTGGGTTCCAAAACAGGCAGGATCCAGCAGGATCTATAGCGGGAGTCTGCAACCTCCAAGTGTGGCTCAGTAAGGAACCAAATATGGCTCTTTTGTCATTCCCAAAATACACACAACTTTTTAAATGAAAAAGAAAAATTAATCCAAAATTTAAAAAATGCATAATTACTCATGTCAAAATGATTTTTTTGTCTATTTCACCTTTAACTGCTCATTTTAACAACCATCTATCCTCTTCACTTATTGGAGTTGTGCACAGCGGCGGATATAGGGCAGGGTGAGCGGGGCGGCTGCTTCAATAGGCCCCGTGCACATACCCCACACGCTACTTCTGGTCGGCCCCACACGCTACTTCTGGTCGGCTGCTGCCGAGACGCGTGTGCAAAACGCTACTTTTGGTCGGCTGCTGCCGAGGCGCATGTGCAAAATTGTGCCTCTTCGGGTCCCGCGGCGCAGCTCTAGGCCTCGCAAAATTATAATCTGCCCCTGGTTGTGCATATTCTCTTTTTATTTGATTGCTCAAAAAATCAAATGTGATGAATTCTGCAACCCTCTAACAGTAAAACTGGCAAAGAGAAAGAGATGACAAGTACCGTAATTTTCAAAAGGAGTGGACAGACTTGTATGCATTGTGGATAGGTCTGGATCTCCACCCTGTCTCATTTGTAGTCAGAGACTGTTCTAAAAAATAATAATAATAAAATGAAAAGAATTTAATGACAAAACATGCAGCATTTGCTACAAAATACCCTGAGGGTGATGCACAAAAAAAAGCCTGGAAGGAGCTGCAGTGAAAAATGAACATTGGACAAAATAACCTACTGGCATGGTCAAAACAAGATGGGAGCTTAAACTCCGTAAGTTTTGCAGGCACACACAGCATTACTCAAGAGGGGAAGCCTTTCACTGACAGAGATTACGTGAAGAGATGCATGCGAAAAATTGGTCATGAACTATTTGACGAGTTTCACAAAAAGGACAAAATCTTACAGAAAATACAAGACACACCTTTATTGGCAAAACAGTTAATGACAGAGCTGTAAAAATGGTCCATCAAATCGACAAGGAACAAATGCAAAACTTGAGTACAGCTACTTATTTTTCATTTGCTTTGGAGAAGACAGCTGACATATGTGATGTTAATTGGTTGTGTATTCTGGAAGGATATATTTGTGGAAATGCTGTGCACGAAGAAATGATTAAAATATTACCAATGAAAAATCAACCAAGGGGTGAAGACATCCTTAAAACTGTGATAAACTTTGCAAAGGAGAGAGAATACAGTTGGATAATTTTGTGTCTGGGTGTACGGATGGTGCACCTAAAACAGTCAGCAAATACAGGGGATTCCTTTTTCTTGTCAGAACCGGTGAACTGCCCACTTTTGAACTTACATTGCATTGTGCATCATGAGGCACACTGTGCACAATTTTGTGGAACCAAACTTGGAAATGTATTGGGACTGGTCATTCACCTTGTCAGTTGAATTCTTGCCTGAGCCCTTAATCACCATCAATTTCTGTCACTTCTCAGGGAGTAGATTCTGAATACCCTGATCTACTAATGGACAATGTTCACTGGTTATCTTGTGGTAAAGTTTTGTCCCGTTTTTCCGCCTGCAATAATGAGATTAAATCATTTTTTATATGAAGGTTGTCAAACATATTGAGCTTTCAGACTATGACTGGTTGCTCAAGTTTTACTATCTTGTCAACATTATCGGTCATTTGAATAAGTTGAACCTTAAGCTACAAGTCCTGACTCTGTAGCAGGCAGTGTATGGATTTGAGTCAAAATTAACTGTCTTCATCAAAGACATCGAGATGGGCAGATTAATAATCTTTCAAAATGTGCCAATGTTTTGTGATTCATGTCAGAGAAAGAAGCCAAGTAACAGCCTTGATTTGCAGCAGATTCCTGGGTTTGTTTCTGAGCTCTTGAAAGCATTCAAGTCTGGTTTTGTTGACTTTTGCAAACACAGTGCTCTGTTTAAGTTTGATTTGTCCACATAAAGCGTACGTTGAAGAACTTGATTTGACAGTCGTTCCAGGCATCTCAGTCAGTGATTTGGAAATGGAAATAAGAGATTTCAAGGAGTTGGATATCTGGGTGGAAACATTTGTCAAGCTGAATTCTGATTTAGAATGCCTTGCTTCACAACATGCAGAATTGGCAAAACTACACAAATGGGCTTGCATGAAGAAATTGGAGCATGATGATGATCTGATTCTGCAAATTTGGAAAGAACTTCCTGTCACATACAACGCCATGCAGAATCTCAGCTTAGCCTTACTTTCAGTGTTTGGCTCCACCTGTATGTGTGAGCAGATTTTCTCTCATTGGAATCACATCAAAGGTGATTTGCACTTGGGATGGACAGAAGACAGCCTGAATGCATGCATAAAGCTGAATTTGACCAGTTATGATATAAACTTCAAAGAAATGTGCAAAAAGATGCAGCAGCAGAAGTTCCATTAAATAAAGTCCTTGAGTACAATGTTTTATTTATGCTGTTATTAATCATCATGTTGATTACTAGTAATATTAAGTTGTATTTTTTCAGTCATGCAAATGGACATTCTTGTACTGCCTCTTTGTTGACCACTTCTTCTGAATTTGGATGTAGTTTGGCTTTTTGGTTTGAAAAGGTTGCTGTCCCTGATCTATATGTTGGATCCAAGTACATGAAATACTAGGAAGCTAGGATGCATCAAGATGCAAGGCTTCACTAGCAATATAAGAAATCGCTCTCTCTATATATAACAAAACCTATATATATGTATGTATGTATGTATATGTGTGTGTCATCATGTCATTCTGCGTACCACAGCCCCTCCTTCCACCCTCAACCACCCTGCCATCCCTGGCACTCAGGCAGGCTAGTGACGTGGCCTCCAACCTCCCGGGGGCTGGGAGCAGCGCGCCCTCACAGAGAGTGTGGCAGCCGTGAGGCCTCCCTCCGGGGGCACAAGCCCCATGGCCTCACAGCTGGAGGGAGAGACCCAGGTCTGCGGCATACTTAGCCTGACCCAAAACCACAGCAGCCAGAGGGAGAGATCTAGGCCAGCGTTGGCCTGGCCCCACTCCCGGGCTGCTGAGGTAGCGGGAGAGCTGGGGCTGGCCCAACCTCAGGGGGGCCCAGCAGCTGGGGGTGGAGAGGTGGGGAGGAGGAAGCCAGGGCAGGGCTGCCACACCTAAGCCTGGCCCTCCCCGGTACCAGTGTGGAGAACCAGGGCTGCCTACCCCCAGAGACCAGAGAGGGGGGTTGGCAAGTGTAGCGAGCAGGGGGAGCAGCCCCCTACTAGTCATACAGTTCTCTATTTAAACAATGGAATTTGTGGTTTGTGGGCCAAAAGGTAACAGGAGCCAATACAGGACATACGATGGGCTTCAGTGCCTGCCTGCAACATCATTACAAAAGGCAATTTTGGGTTCCAGATTTTTCTTTGTGGTGCAAGAGCAGTCAAATGTGTTCTCTGTTTACACAGTGGAATTTGGGGGAGTTGGTAGCAAAAATTGGCTGGATGGATCCTGCAGGATTCAGATGCTGAATCCAGCTTTTCGCTCGGGATCTGGAGCTTTTAGGTGGAGTAAGAGCATCTGGTCTCTATTGAAGCAGTGGAATTTGGGAGACTGGGTCCAAAAACTGGCTGGATCCAGCGGCCAAATACGATTTTTCGCAGCCAGGATGCTGCCGGGTGTGGAATTTTTGGATGCCGGCGCGGAGACTCGTTCCCTGCGCAGCCCCGCGGCATTGGGGGCGCTGGGGAGGCCAAAATTCCCTGGCTGTGGCCGAATCCGGGAAGAGCCGGCCACATCCAGCTTTTACCCACACCCCCAACATGACCTGCACACCAGCCACCTCACGCAGCCGCGCTCAGCC